CCCCCCCCTCTCCCTCCTTGGTCTTCTGGGGAGTGCCTTCCCCCCATCTACCCCTCTAGGGGCTAGGATCCTGGGTACTGCTACCCGACGTGCACAGTGTAGTCCAGTGGAAACACTGGAAAGGCATATAGATAGGTAGGTAGTGGGAGATACAATGAGAGAAGAATATAGGGTAGTACCAAAAAAAAAAAGAAAAAAAAAGAAAAGGACACTATGATCACTATCGGAATTTCAGAAGGATGTCATGTTTTGTAACAGCTAAGCGGGCAAACGTCCTTCAACACACGTATTTGGACATGAAAGCAGGCTGGTTCATGCTAACTTGGCATGTACATGGCCTCAAAATGTTAAGGATGTCATCTTGTAACAGCTCAGTGAGTGAAATGGTGCAACACATCATGTGCATTTAATAAATTGAATAACTTTATTAATAAATTAATAATCAGGTGGAGAAGTTGGAGTTGAAGGCCTCACCCAGCCAGTGCATGGTGTTTAGTGATTACCCTGTGTCCTTTTTCCGTCTTTTCGTATTTTTGGTTTATAAAGGAGTCTTTTGTTTTTTGGGTTTATTAGCGTAGACGAGAGACAGGAGAAGAGAAAAACAGAGGAAAAAAAAGAAGGAGAGAAGGATGATCAAGGATCTCACCTCTCACTGCTTGTGTTGCTTTGCTCTGTTGTCATGCAGGGGTTGCATTAGAGGGCCACATCCGGATTCCAAGCCGTTAACTCTCTCCTTTCACTCCCGCCTCCAGCGAAGGGCACTTCTGGCTGTGGTAAGCATATTGCAAACTGACAGACAGAAAAAATCAATGTATGTGGTAAGCATACTGCAAACTGTACGTACAAAAAAAATCAATGTAAGTGGTAAGCATACTGCAAACTGTACAGACAAAAGATCAGTGGCTTTCAAGCAGAAAAAGGAAGGACACTCACTTCCTTGCCAGCCCTCCGAATCCTACAGGCAGAAATGACATTCCAAAAATGTGTCTCCAGAATCTCTCTCTCTCTCTCTCTCTCTCTCTCTCTCTCTCTCTCTCTCTCTCTCTCTCTCTCTCTCTCTCTCTC